CATGAAAAAGCAGTGTGCCTGGTAAAAGCAAGACCAATGCCCATGAATAAAAAACAAAGAAAAAAAAAAAAGGAGAAGAAGAAAAACGATGAAAAGACAACCCCAAAGGGTTAAACTTGAGTTCTTCTTCGATACAAATTCCTACTTTAGGAACTCTGTCTTGACAAAGATCTGTCACATGATAGATGAAGACAAGCCTATTCTTGAGAAAGCAATTGGAACAGAGATAGAATGGTATCCAGGAAAATGCTGGACGCAGAAGCTCCTCAAGAAAAAGTTGTCAAAGAAGCTAAAACACGGGATTACCCAAGGAGTTTTCCAAAAGAGTCCCGACGGTGGAGAAGAAGGCTGGTGACAACGCTAAGATGATCACCAATTTTCACCCTTACACACATTTTTTAGCCTAACGATCCTTTCGTTTCTCAACCTGTGAACTGAGCCCACGTTACATCCCTCATGAAGTCTCTTCTGATTAGGGCACTTGATTTAACGTGGAATTTCAAATGTTTATAAACAACGCTCGAGGAAATGCGAGCAAGACTATTTCTATCTTGTTTTGCAGGGTTCTTGACTTGTAAACCCGGAGATGATTGCAGAATACTTTCTTTCATAGCCTTGACTCGGACAGTCTCCTTCGTTAAGCCATTGACCAAGTCTACATTACGACCCTGAAGAAGACCTCTCAGATTGGCAGCGTCATACCGCTTGCGAGAAAACTCAGACCCTTGCGGATGTGATAGCGGTCAGATTGAGTGTTTTCGATGTTCCCGCATTAATGGACGGGACAAATAGCCCTTTTTAATGAGAGCGAGTGGAAAGTCCTTTCTGACTGAGGATCCCTCGTTCAGCATCTCGAGAAGTCCGCCCAGCGAGCAAAAAAATTATCTTGATTGACCCTCAGTGGATGTTTGGTGATGCAAACATGGCAAAATCATTACGCATGAACTTTCAAATACACATTCTGGAATAGCCCAACTTGTCTATTCTTGATGAATGCATGCATGTTTGCGCTAACCCTCTTTGACAGGTAAAATATCCTCAAAGACTCAAAGAACATATGACCTTTGGAGCGTCTCCAAAGATGGCACAAAAAATTTCTTCCGTTCCCCAAGTGGAATTGACACAGCATGCTTTTGCAGCTCAAAGTTTTAATCCCCAGTGATAGAACACGAAAATTCGGGCGCTGGAGAAGCCCTCATTATCATCACAAAAGAAATGCCCTGAAAAAGGTCGGGTATTCAGCAGATGATATATCAAACCTCCGGGTAAGAAATCCCAGGTATTTCATCAAATTTCTTTTCAAACTACCCAGAAGGTAAACGGGGTGTTTCTTTGAAAAAGAAAAGCATCTTGACTAGCTGGTCAAGATATTTCATACGATATTCAAGAATAGCCTCAGTTGTCTATTTCTCCGATGAATACGTATGTCTTTGCACAAAAAAACTTGTCTGACAGGAGACACGCCCTTAAGAGGCAGAAACGTGCCCAGGTAAGTACATTTTACCCATGCCTGGTTCAAAAAATCATGTACCTACGATTGTTATGGTACCCTTTGAACATCGAATTAATCCCGTTGTTCACCCTCTGAACATCGGATTAACCCCGTTGTTCACTCTCCTGAGCATGGGACTGACCCCCATGTTCACATCAAATCCTCGGGCGAGGACCCCCAGATGCTCATCTTTTGAGCCTTTTTCAAGACCTGCTGGCGAGGACCCACCAGGCAAACAATCAAATCCTCGGGCGAGGACCCCCAGGTGCTCATCGTTTGAGCCTTTTCAAGACCTGCTGGCGAGGACCCACCAGGCAAACCGTCAAACCCTCGGGCGACGACCCCCAGGTACTTTGACAAACAAAATCCAGTCAGTCAAGGCGACCGAAGAAAGGTTCGGGTCCTAGACAGACCAAACAAAATCCAGTCAGTCAAGGCGACCGAAGAAAGGTTCAGGTCTTAGACAAACAAAATCCAGTCAGTCAAGGCGACCGAAGAAAGGTTCGGGTCCTAGACAGACCAAATGAAATCCAGTCAAGGCGACCGAAGAAAGGTTCGGGTCCTAGGCAAGCGATTTCCCCCAGTCAAGGCGACCGAAGAAAGGTTCGAGTCCTAGACAAACAAAATCCAGTCAAGGCGACCAAAGAAAGGTTCGGGTCCTAGACAAAAGCAATCCCCATCAAGGCGACCGAAGATAGGTTCGGGTCCTAGACAAACCATTTTTTTCGTCAAGGCGACCGAAGACAGGTTCGAGTCCTCGACACACAATATCAACTATCTGAAATTACTCTACCCTTCGGCAAGGTAAGTAGCCCCAGGTATGTTTTCATTTGCTTTAGCATGCATCATCTTATATCACATCATAAAAATGGGACTCCGGTCTCGCCAAAAATAACATTCATCGAGCATGCATGGGCCAAATTTAGGTGTCATTTTATCTTTGAACGTAACCTCTACGAGCTCAATCTCTGCGAGCTCACCTTCAAAGAGGGGCAGCTGTTGACACCTATTTTTTATTTGCCCAAAATTAATTACACAAAATTTAGGAATTAATTTTCTTTAATTCCTAAAACAAAAAAATATTTCTATTTAAATGCATTGCATATAGACATTAGGCATATGTGCATTAATAGGGCCTATTAGAGCATATTTTCTTAAATTTTAAATAAAAATTTAAAAAAAAAAAATCGAAATCGATTCGGGCCGGGTGGATGTGGGCCGACCCTACCCTTTTCTTCCTTTTTCTCTTTCTCCCCACGCGGCCCAAATTCACTTCCTTTCTTTTTTCTCTCCCCCCTGCGGCCGGGGCCCAGCCGCCCAGCCTTCCTTTCCTTCTCTCTCCCCCGCACGGTCGCTCTCCTCGCCCCTGTTCTCCCCTGTTCGCGACGGAAGCGTGACACACGGCGGCGCCGCTTCTCACCGTCGCTGTCTGGCCAGAGGAGGGCCGGGTGAGCACACCGACGGGACTGGCATTAATTACCAGTCCCGTCCTCCCCGTTGTCCCGGCCTTCGTTATCTCCTCTTCCCTCTCAGCTCGCTATTCCTCTCTGCCCCGTCTCAGACCTGCTCCGCCCCTGCTCTGCACCGGCCTGCAAATGGCCACGAAAGTCGTGGCATGGCGTAGGCCGGTGCAGGCCGTCGTCACGCCGACGCGGAGAGGCAGAGAGACGCGTCGTCGCCGCCTATAAAAGCCGGAGAGAGAGAGAGAGTCCCGGTCGGCCAGAGAGAGAGAGAAACAGAGCAGCTGGAGAGAGAGCGTGAGCCGAGAGAAAGAGGGAGACGGAGCGAGACAGAGAGACGGAGAGCTCATCCGGCGGCCACCGCGCCTCAGCCATCCATCCCCGTCGCCGAGCCGACGGCGGCGACACAAAGAGAGAGAGACTGAGAGACAAGAGAGAGAATAGAGAGAGAGAGAGAGAGAGAGAGAGAGAGCAAACCGAGATCACGCCGGAGTACGAGCGAGAACCAACAGCGTCGCCGTCGTCCCCCGACCAGTCGGAAGCCTCCCAGACGCGCCGTCGACCGGTGAGTCATCCCCCGGCCCGAACTGCTCTGTTCTCCCCTGTTTTTGCTCCCGGTTTGGCCGGGACCCGCGCCGGCCGTTTCGCGCGAGTCCCGGCACATACCGTCGTCCCTCACCGTCCGTGCATCATCGTTAAAGGTAAGAACAGGTTTCCCGAGGACGGCGGGGCCTCGAAACAGGTCGGAATCTCCTGTTTTTGGTCGCGCACGCCCGTGTTCGACAAAATGCCTCAAAGAGGCCGGTTTTAATTCGGTCGCCGGCCGGCGAGCGGCGGTCAAACGGCGACCCGTGTGGACGGCGAGGCTTGGCGGTGTTCCTAGAAGCCGATTTGGGGCGCGGTCGGTCCGGCGGACGGCCAATTTTGGCCTCTCCGCGCCCCTCCCCGCGGTTCAGATGTTCGGGTCGGATTCGACCCGAATCCAACAGATCCGACCCGGTCAACGCCCGGGTCGGATCCGTTGACTCGGATTGGTTCCGACCGATCCGGATTAACAGATCCGACCCGGGTCAACGCCTGGGTCGGATCCATTGACCCGGGTCGGTTCCGACCCGATCCGGATTGATCGATCCGACCCGGGTCAACAACCGGGTCGGATCCGTTGACCCGGGTCGGTTCCGACCCGATCCGGATCCGCAACCCGACCCGGTTTAATATTATATTAATATTAATATATTATTTTTTTAAAAAAAAAAATTTTAAAAATTTTAAAAATATTTTTTTCTTTCTTTTTTTTTTCCTTCTGTACTATATATATTTCGAAAAAAAAAAATTTAAAAAAATTTTTTTTTTTAAAAAGAAAAGATCTTTTTTTTAAAAAAATTATTATTGTGTGATATATTCTAAATGTTTAATTTATTGTAGTATTATTGTGCATATTTTTGTCTTGTTTAAATTAGACAAGCCTGAGATTGCGCGGTAATATTTTGCGTGTTATTTTTATTATCGCTGTATTATTATGCATGTTTTTTAATACAATAGCATGAATTGTGTTTTGAATGTCATCTGACTTAGTTAAGGTTAGAACCTTAGGCTGCATGAATTGTTGTGTTTCTGACTGCTAATCGTTTCTGATTATGCACTCGCTTGATCACCTCACATGTTAGGAGAAATGTCCTAAAATTAATCCAAATTGCCTGACAAATGTTTTCAGTAATGAACAGGGTAAAATGGTACCGAAAGGGCATTAGTTATCCAACTAGTGTAACCAAGTCCCCGAACTCATTTAATCTCTTGTTCGTAGGAATAGGGTGATTCTCCCATCACCCTATTTGGGTTTCTAATCGACCCACCCCAAATCGATTAGTGACGACTCCTTGATATAAACCACTTGCATGTTAAAAACTTAAACCCTAAGTCGCGATATGGTATGGGCTTGGGAGAGCCCGAGTTAAGTCCCTAACCTAGACTTAGCACGTACCAGGTGAGCCCCCCTTTTTTGCATGTTCGATATAAAAGGGCTCGGGAGTTCGTTCGCAACATTGTTCTTTAAAGAAATCATAACATTTTCACAATTTTTAAGTGAGTCAAGCATTTCCACAAATAAATCTTGGGAAGAGCAACAGAACTTTTCGTGCTTAGCAAAGTTCCTGCTGGCCAGGTCATAACTACAGGCCACAATGATATAAGAATCCCCATTTGCCTCGTCCCTCCCATCAATGCAATGCAATGCAATGCTCTGTGCTTAACACCATGTTAACCGAAACTGCATCCTCCGATCTCACCGTCAACCCTTGGGAACATCTCCAGGTCACCCTCAATCCCGACGGCACCCTCAACCGCGACCGCCACTTCATACCGGTCACCTCCACCACACCCAATCCCACCTCTCCCACCAATCCAGTCCTCTCCAAGGACGTCCCAATCAACCCTTCCCACAACACCTGGGCCAGGATCTTCCTACCCCACCGTGCAACGTCGTGCTCGGAGGAGAAACGCCCCCTCATAGTTTACTACCATGGCGGGGGATTTATTTTCTGCAGCGCGGCTTCGACGGTATTTCATGAGTTCTGTGTCACTTTGGCGAGGGAGCTCTCCGCTGTCGTCGTGTCGGTGGAGTATCGCCTCGCCCCGGAGCACCGGCTCCCCATGGCGTATGATGACGCTATGGAGGCGCTACACTGGGTTAAAGCCACCCGAGACGAGTGGCTCGCGGACCACGCGGATCTCTCCACGTGCTATCTCATGGGCAACAGCGCGGGCGGCAATGTGGCCTTCCATGCAGGGCTGCGTGCGTCCGCATCGCACGACGACCTCGAGCCGTTGAAGATCCGAGGGCTGATACTGCACCACCCCTTCTTCAGTGGCACCCAGAGGACGCCATCAGAGCTGAGGCTGGCGAGCGACCAGACGCTGCCGCTGGCGGCAAACGATCTCATGTGGGAGCTGTCGCTGCCGCTTGGGGTTAACCGCGACCACGTGTACTATAATCCAGCAATGGACGGTGGCTCCAAGCTCTCGGAAGGAGTGGATAAGATGAGGTCACTGGGGTGGAGGCTACTGGTCATCGGCTGCGACGGAGACCCACTAATCAATCGACAGGTGGAGCTAGTGAAACTGTTGAGAAAGAAGGGAGTGAGAGTGACGAGCGATTTTGCTGAGGGTGGACATCATGGGATTGAGATCACGGAACCGGAGAAGAGCAAGCCTCTGGTCCAAACCTTGAGGAGTTTCATGTCGACGACTGGGACTGGTCAGGGCGTGGTCGGTCCACCGGATGGAGTCTCCACGCAAAATGTGGTCTGAGCTTTTTCTTTGTTTATCACACCCTATGAAATTGAAAGGGTCATGACGGTTCCGAACCACTCAATCGGGCATGCTGTTGTTTCTCGTCTAAATTGATTCCTATCGCCTTTAAGGCTCAAGAGTATCATGTGGTTTCTGTGAAGAACTTGAAGAAGACGAAAGGAAATTGACAATTGAAGAACTCAGAACTACACACTGAATTTCATCTGAGAGCATAACATCTCTCTTTGTATCTTACTTCTTTATATCACGTTCAGTTCATACACTAGAGAGTACAACTATACAACTGCACTAACAGAAGAAACAAAATTATACAACTGAACTAACAGAATACTAACTACTCTGTGTTTCTCTTAGCTCAAGAACATAGTCAGTTACAGAACATTAACCAATCTTTGATACGTATAGAAGACTTGTTCCTTCTTCTTCATCTTTGCACTTCTCCTTCTTTCTTATAGTCTCAACATCCCCCCGCAAACTGGGGGCAGGTTTAAACCCCAAGCCCAATTTGGTCCTGAGAGTGGAGTGATCAAGTCGTGATAAGGCTTTAGTGAAAATGTCAGCAAGCTGGCGATGACTAGGAACATACTGGACAGATAATGATCCCAAGGAAACCTTTTCTCTGACGAAATGAAAATCAACTTCGATATGTTTGGTTTGAGCATGTAAAATAGGATTTGCAGTAAGTGAAATGGCAGACTGATTATCGCAAAAAAGGACTATAGGTGATGTTAAAGAAATGCCAATATCACGCAGAACAAAGCTGATCCAAGTAAGATCAGCAGTAGCAGAAGCAAGTGCACGATACTCTGCTTCAGTGGAGGATCGAGAAACAGTGGGTTGTTTCTTGGCTGTCCAGGAAATGAGATTGGAACCAAGAAATAGGCAAAAACCAGTAGTAGAGCGTCTAGTATCAAGACATCATGCTCAGTCAGCATCTGAGAAGCCATACAAGTTTAGAGTACTGTTCGAGTGAAGAAAGATACCCAGATGAAGTGTGCCCTTTACATATCGAAGTACGCGCTTGAGTTTAAGAAAATCAGCAATGGTAGGATGCTGCATTTTCTGACATAAAAGATTAGTGGCATATGCAAGATCAGGTCTAGTAATAGTGAGATATTGAAGACCTCCTACCAGACTTCTATATTCAAGGGGATTGTCAAAAGGAATGGTGTCATTTGACGTAGGAAGAGACCTGACACATAGAGGAGTGGAGATGGGCTTGCAATCTTGCATGTGAGCTCGTGTAAGAAGTTCAAAAGCATATTTAGTCTGGCAGAGAAAAAGGTCAGCAGAACTACGTGTGGCTTCAATACCTAGAAAGTAATGAAGAGAACCCAGGTCTTTCATGTGAAAAGTAAGACTGAGAGACTTGATTAAGTCAGCAAGAAGCTGAGGGGAATTGCCAATCAGGACAATGTCATCAACATAAAGTAGCAAGAGAATTGTGTCTGTACCTCTGCAGTACACAAAGAGAGAGGGATCTGTGGTGCTGCAGAAGAAGCCTGATTCAAGTAAAAAATTGCTGAATTTCTCAAACCATGCACGCGGAGCCTGGCGAAGTCCATATAAAGACTTTTGTAGGAAACAAACATGATGAGCTTAGGATCAATGAAACCAGGAGGCTGCTCCATATAAACAGATTCAGTCAATGTGCCATGTAAGAATGCATTTTTGACGTCGAGTTGGTGAATAGGCCAATGCTGCACCATAGCTACTGACAAGACAATACGTATGGTTGCTTGTTTGACAACAGGGCTAAAAGTTTCAAGATAGTCTACTCCTTCTTCTTGATGAAAACCTTTAGCCACCAGACGAGCCTTTAACCTTTCAAGACTCCCATCAGATGCTAACTTGGTCTTAAACACCCATTTACAGCCTATAACATTCATCTGAGCAGTGCGTGGAACTAATACCCAAGTTTGATTTTCATACAAGGCAGCCATTTCTTCTTGCATTGCACGAGTCCAGCCTTCATGAGCTAAGGCTGACTTAATTAATTTTGGTTCAGAAGGAATAGTAGATTCAGCTAAGCAGACATATTTGGGATTTGGTTTCACTATGCCAGACTTAAATTGAGTTTGCATAGGATGAACAGAAATATCACAATGTGGAGAAGAAGAAGACTGATGTTTAGAAGCAACAACGGAAGACTGATGTTCTTGAACAGGCATACTGGTTATTGCAGTAGGCGAAACAGAAGAAGCTGATGGTCGAGGAATAGCAACAGCTTGTGAAGAATTGTATGGTATAGAAATTTGGCCTACCTCCAGAACAGCACTGTCTTGTAGATGGCCAGTGTGAAAAGTGTTAGGTTGTCTAACTGTATTTGCCCTGGTAGAATCGAGAAAAGCAACCTCATCAACCCACTTTCGGTACAGAGATGTATAGTGAGGATAATCTACAGATAATTGCTTGGCAAATGGGAAGAAATTTTCATCAAATGTCACATGTCGACTGATATACACTTTACCATCAGTAGGTACCAGACAGCGATACCCTTTATATTTCTCACTATACCCTAGGAATACACAAGTGAGAGATCGAGGGTCAAATTTATGTTGAGCATATGGTCTGAGACAAGGATAACAAGCACAGCCAAAGACCCTGAGATGATCATACTTGGGCACTTGTTGAAAAAGTTTGCTGTGAGGTGAGTCCATCTGCAGCTTAGGAGTTGGAAGCAGATTAATAATATGATTGGCAATTAAGAATGAATCAACCCAGTAGTGTAATGGTGCTCGAGCATGATATAGCATAGTGAGACCTAATTCGACCACATGACGATGCTTCCTTTCAGAAATCCCATTCTGTTCAGGAGTATAAGGATAGGAAATATATTGTTTAATACCACAAGTGTCTAGATGAGCCTGAAACCTTGTACTAGTGAATTCACCACCACCATCACATTGGAAGACTTTGATTTTGCGGTCAAACTGAGTCTGTACATATTGCTGAAACATAATGAAAATATTATAGAACTCAGATTTGTATTTCATTGGATAAATCCAACTGTAGCGAGAGAAGTTGTCCACAAAAATGACATAAAATCGGAAGCCCTGAATAGAGGTTACTGGTGAAGGACCCCAAATGTCACAGTGTATCCTTTCTAGAGGAAGTTCAGTTACAGAATGAGACAAAGAAAATGGTAAATGTGTACTCTTGACAAGTTGACAACTGCCACATACAGAGGAAGCTTTCTTATTATAGTTAATCCACTGCTGTTGTTGAAGATACTTCAAGATCTTTGTATTAGTATGAGCAAGTCGTTGATGCCATATGTCTTCTCAAACAGCTTTATGTCGTTGTGTAAACAGAGCTTTTGTTGCCATCTGATCCACTCGATAAAGTCCCCCAATTTTCAGCCCGAGCTGCACTGTGGAGTTGGTTCGATTGTCCTTAACATAGACACCATATTTATCAAACACAAAGGAGCGGGGAAAGTCATCAGTTAGTTTTGAAACTGAAAGAAGATTTTTCTTGATTTCAGGTACTACCAATACATCATTGAGCGGTAATGCATCAATTGCAGTAAATAACAATGCATCACCAGTATGAGTAATAGGAAGACATGAACCATTTCCTATCATTACAGAATCAGTTCCAGTGTACTTGGAGGGGTTATGAATTATACTCGTATTGGCTGTAATGTGAGTTGTGGCTCCTGTATCAGGATACCATTCATTGCCTGTTGAATCCTCAAGATGCATTGCTGTTAAAGCTTGTGGAATAGATGTACCTTGATAAGAGTTATCAAATCTATACCAGCAACGAAGAGCATCATGCCCTGGACGTTTGCAGATTTGGCAAGTTACTCGAACTCCATCTATGGCCTTTTCATCCTGCAAGTTCTTGTGAACTACTGAGTTGGGAGATGGATAGGATTTAGTGTCTTGATACCGCTGTGATGAATTAGCAAAAGGTCGAAAGCCATGATTAGAACCAGAGAAATTAGTCCGTGGACTAAAAGATTGAACCTCCTGAACTTGGCTCAGATTAAATGGTCTATAATTCTGGCTTCTTCCTTGATATCCATAACTACGAACTCGATTGTCAAATGGACGACCTCTACCATAGATACGTCCCCCACGATTGTTCCCTTTTTGACCTATAAACGCAAAATTCTGTGGATACAGTTTTCCGTCAAGTATCACCTTCGGTTCTATTTCTAGGCTTCTTTCTCCATAATAGGCCATGTTAGGATTATACTGACTCGAAGAATAGTTTTGCAGTCTCGTTTCAAATCTTTCTAGTTGTGATATCACCTCATCATAATCAGGTTGAGGTTTCAAGCAGTATATAGTTGTGCGAAAATTCTCATACTCTGAGCCTAAGCCCTCCAAGACACCAAAGACTTTAGTTATCTCATCAACAGGCTTCCCAATTGCATCTAGCTGATCACAAATCAGCTTATATTCTCTAAGATAATCAGAAAGCTTTCTATTTCGCTTCTGACATGCTTGAAGTTTCCCCCTCAGTTCAAACTCTCTAGCTACTGATTTCTGTGTAAAACGATTCAGTAATGTTTGCCATACCTCAGAAGATGTTTCCAGGCCAATGATCAACCCTAGGATATGCTCAGAAACTGCACCACTGATCCATGATGATATCAGTTGATCAGTTTTCACCCAATCATTATAATCAGGATTCACAGCTTCAGTCTCATTCCCTTCAATATCAAGTTGTAGCTTCCCTGGTGGTGGAATTTCTCCACTAACGAAACCAAAAAGCTCTTGACTCCGGAGAAATCTGAGAAACTGAGTCTGCCAGAGAAGAAAATTATCTTCTGCAAGTTTGATTGTAACAAAGTTGGCAATGTTTACGTGGATAGGAAAAGGATATCTTGGTATTCTTGTTGCCATTGTTGTGTTCTTCAAGAGAAAAAATCGAGATTCACAGCTTTGCTCTCAGAGAAAAAGCTCTGATACCATGTGAAGAACTTGAAGAAGACGAAAGGAAATTCACAATTGAAGAACTCAGAACTACACACTGAATGTCATCTGAGAGCATAACATCTCTCTTTGTATCTTACTTCTTTATATCACGTTCAGTTCATACACTAGAGAGTACAACTATACAACTGCACTAACAGAAGAAACAAAATTATACAACTGAACTAACAGAATACTAACTACTCTGTTTTTCTCTTAGCTCAAGAACAGAGTCAGTTACAGAACATTAACCAATCTTTGATACTTATAGAAGACTTGTTCCTTCTTCTTCATCTTTGCACTTCTCCTTCTTTCTTATAGTCTCAACAGTTTCTAGTTGGTTCCCCATTTTTTCTTCCCTTGAGAATTAGTACTCTCTAACTTTATTTAATCATCAGGGTGGGTGAAAAACTTCATTGCTTTTCTGAAGTTGGTTCTTAGTCTTTCTGGCTCCGGTCGATGAGACATATATATATATATATATATATATATATATATGAAGGGACACAATAGTTACGTGACATAATCTTTGTTGTTTGGTGCTTGTTCATTAAACATGATCCTTGTGCTTGAAATATCCACGTATATGTCACTTTATTAACTGATATTTTGGATACCTAGCAATTACCATGGTTTTCTCTTGCCACCCAATAGAAAGTCGATGGTTGTTACAATTTATTTTACTCAAACACGACTATAAATCATATCGTTAAAACACCCAAACTAAAATAATAGTCTGTAGTTGAATCCATTTCTCCTGACATTGTTGTTGATCATAATGCTATTATTATGCAGCTTCTTCCTTACTAGGATTTTGTTGTGTTTTACCAACTTTTATGCATCTTTCTTTATTACGCCTTAAATTTATTAACTCTTTTATGAAACCACTGCTAACCGCTTCTCCATGTATGCTAATCTACTTCTGTCATGTATAAGGCCAAGATTATTTTTGTCACTCTTATATTTTAGGGATAACTTTAAAGAGAAGGGTTAATACCACGAAAAACCCTAAATCGGTACATTTATGACAAATTTACTCCAAACTATTTTTTTTATCACAAAAAACCCCAAACTGGTATACCTGTAACAATTTTACCTCGAACTATTTTTTTGAACACCAAAAACCCCAAACTGGTACACCTGCGACAATTTTAACCCGACCTAATTTTTTAATATTATTTTTTTATTTTTTCGAATTTTTTATTTTTTCTTTTCTTTTCTTTTTCCTTTCCTTTTCTTTTTTTATTTCCCTTCGTCTTCTTTATCTTCAACCTATGGCCGGTCGCTAGTCCGACGACTGGCCAAAGACGGGAGCTGACGAGGTCGGCCCCGCCGGCCGCTGGCGAGGCCAACCTCGCCGTTGCTGGGCGAGGCCGACCTCGCCGGCAAATGGCGAGGTCGGCCTTGCCCACCCCTGGCGAGGTTCGACCTCGCCATTTGCCGGCGAGGGGTCGTCCTCGCCATCGCTAGCAAGGCGAGGCCCCACCGGCCGTTGGTGAGGCCAATCTAGCAGTCGCTCAGAAACCAAATCGATGGCCAGCGCAACAGATCAGAACGCCACAAAAGGTGGGGATTCGGCGTACCGTCTTGGATCGGCAAGGCTTCCCGCAGGAGCTACAAACGAGATTGAGGACAGCCTCGGTGGACTCGGAGAAGTTGGAGTGAGAGGTGAGCTTGGCGTGCCCTTGAGCTTCCTCCATAGACTTCAAGAGGGCGCCGCAGTCGCCGCACTTGAGAGAGAACGCCAGCCATGGCTCCGGTCCTCCGATCGGGGAAGGGAAAATTGAGAGAGAAACGCTTCGCGCTTGGAGCGATGCAACTTCACGATCGCCGGACGGAACGGTTGGGATTTCGCCGTCGCTAGCGAGGACGACCCCTCGCTGGCAACTGGTGAGGTCAAACCTCGCTAGGGGTGGGCAAGGCCGACCTTGCCAGTTGTCGGCGAGGTCGGCCTTGCCCAGCAATGGCGAGGTCGACCTCGCCGGCCCCCGCCTTTGGTCAGTCGTCGGACCAACGACTGGCCATAGGTTGAAGATAAAGAAGATGAAGAAAAAAAAAAAGAAAAGGAAAGGAAAAAGAAAAGAAAAGAAAAAATAAAAAAAAATTCGAAAAAAAATAATATTAAAAAATTAGGTCGGGGTAAAATTATCGCAGGTGTACCAGTTTGAAGTTTTTGATGATCAAAAAAATTGTTCGGGGTAAAATTGTCACAGGTGTACGAGTTTGTGATTTTTTGTGGTCAAAAAAATAATTTGAGGTAAATTTGTCATAAATGTACCCGTTTAGGATTTTTCGTGGTATTAACCCTAAAGAGAAAATATTTGTTCCTGCACTTTTCTTGGACTTTTAACTAATTCGGCATTATGCCTATTGTTTCTCCATTTATGTCAATCTGCTTCCAGCACATGTCTGACCACGATCTCGATCACTTTTACATTCAAGGGATAACTTTAACCAAAAAATAACAATTCCGACACTTTTCTTGGACTTTGAACCAATTTGGCATCATGCCGGCCACTTCAGCATTGGGTGTGCCAACCACTTTTGACAAATGTATGCCAACTACTAGTATCGAGTTTCTAGTCATGAATCTCACACATCTTGAGATTCTAGGAGTGTGGCCTAATTGCCTCTACTTCTCTTTTTTTCCAGGTTGGCATGGCCAAAAAATAGCCAATGCCGATCTCCAACATGCCAAGCCTCCCATTGGCCAAAACCTATGCCAATCATGACCCGATTGGCATAATTGCCATAACATCATATAATTTAAGAAGCCGATAACTTGCTCGATATGGTTGATGTCTCACGAAGCAATATCTCTTTGAAAATAACTATCTATTTTGGCCATGTATAGATGGATGTTATACATGACATCCTTTTAATTACGTACTCATTTAAGTGCAAATAGTCACATTTATAGACCACTCGACTCGATTTTTTTTGCTTTCGTCTTACCTATAGAATGTAGACTTTTCTTGAAAAACTTATTTCTATTGCCATTGAATTTAGAATAGCTATCTTATACAATAACTAATACGGTTTATATAGTATTAATTTTTAAGTGAGTGGAATTTGAACTTCTATTTAGAGGGGACTTGCAAAATTCATGTTTCAACCCTTATACTTTTATAAAGACAAAAGTCTGCCGTGCTTAGCAAGGGTCAAATGCTGCCGTGCTTAAATCATGGTCTATGGATTCAAGGAATGTATATTTTATTTTCTTTCGTGGTCAATAGCGTCAATTGGACCAAATTCCACCCTTTTTTTCACAACTTGTTTCCTGTCTTCTTTTTCAGAATTTTTTGAAGATCTCTTTCTACCAAAGTGCAGGAGGCTGATCGGATGATAGAGCGGGTGTTTAGGGAGGCTTACCATTAAATGTTGATGCGCTTGCTATCGTTATTTAAAGCTTGTTCTTTAAAGAAATCATAACCTTTTAACAATTTTTAAGTGTGTCTAGCATTTCCACACGTAAATTTTGGAAAGAACAACAAAACTTTTCGTGCTTAGCACGAACAGGATATGACTTTCCTACTGGCCAGGTCATAACTACAGGCGACAATGATATAAGAATCCGCTATTGCCTCGTCCCTCCCTCCCATAAATGCAATCCTCTGTGCTTAGCACCATGTCAACCGAAACTGCATCCTCCGATCTCACCATCAACCCTTTGGAACATCTCCAGGTCACCCTCAATCCCGATGGCACCCTCAACCGCGACCGCCGCTTCATACCGGTCACCTCCGCCGCACCCAATCCCACCTCTCCCACCAGTCCAGTCCTCTCCAAGGACGTCCCCATCAACCCTGCGCACAACACCTGGGCCAGGATCTTCCTACCCCACCGTGCACCGTCGTACTCCAAGGAGAAACTCCCCCTCATAGTTTACTACCACGGCGGGGGATTTATCCTCTACAGTGCCGCTTCGACGGTGTTCCACGAGTTTTGTGTCACTCTGGCGAGCGAGCTCTCTGCTGTCGTCGTGTCGGTGGAGTATCGCCTCGCCCCAGAGCACCGGCTCCCCATGGCGTACGATGACGCGGTGGAGGCGCTGCACTGGGTTAAAGCCACCCGAGACGAGTGGCTTGTGGACCACGCGGATCTCTCCACGTGCTATCTCATGGGCACCAGCGCGGGCGCAAACTTGGCCTTCCATTCGGGGCTGCGTGCATCCGCGTCGCACGGCGACCTCAAACCGTTGAAGATCCGAGGGCTGATACTGCACCACCCCTTCCTCAGCGGCACCCAGAGGACGCCGTCAGAGCTGAGGCTGGCGAACAACAAGATGCTGCCACTGGTGGTCAACGATTTCATGTGGGAGATGTCGCTGCCGGTTGGTGTTACTCGCGACCACGTGCACTGTAATCCAATGGTGGACGGTGGCTCCAAGCTCTCGGAAGGAGTGGGTAAGATGAGGTCACTGGGGTGGAGGCTACTGGTCATCGGCTGCGACGGAGACCCGCTAATCGATCGACAAGTGGAATTCGCGAAAATGTTGCAAGAGAAGGGAGTGAGTGTGGCGAGGGATTTCACGGAGGGTGGACATCATGCGATCGAGGTCAGGGAACCGGACGAGAGGAAGCCTCTGGTCCAAACCTTAAAGAGTTTCCTGTCGACGACTGTGACTGATCAGGGCGTGGTCCGTCCACCGGATGGGATCTCCACGCAAAATGTAGCCTGAGATTTCTCTTTGTTTATCACGTTGTATGAAAGTGAAAGGGTTGCGACGGTTCTAGACCTCTCGATCGTGCATGCAGTTATTTCTCGCCTGTATTGGAGCCCTATCGCCTTTAAGACTTGAGTATACATCTAATGAACAATGTGGTTTCTCGTTGGTTCACTACTTTTTTTTTGCCTCTTGAGAATTAATACTTCATCTTTATTTAATCAACAGGGCGTTTTATGGGTGACAAGCTTTGAAGTTGATTCTTAGTCTCTTTGGTTCCGGTCGACGGGTTATATGATAATAGGGACACTATGATTCATTGATAACAGTGTTAGAAAATAACGTGACATATTCTTTCTTGTTTGATGCTTGTTCATTAAACATGGTCCTTTTTTCTTACAACATCCGCTTATTCATCACTTTATTAATAGACAGACCAAAAAAAATCACTTTATTAATAGATTTTTGGATTCCTGGCAATTATTATGGATTTTTCTTGCCATCCAATCGAAAGTCCATGATTATTATTTCATTTTTTACTCAAACATGATCGGAAGTCTTATCGTTTAAACACCTAAATTAGAGAAAATTACTAATCAGTCATAAACCTATTGTACAGATGTCAATTTAGTCACAAACCTTATAATTTAACCAATGTAGTCCTAAACATTTTTGATGAAATTCCAATGTAGTCCTTCCGGCAAATTTTAGCCTGAAAATGCTTATGTGGAGGTCAAGTCATCACAAATTGTTCTATGTGGCACGGTCAGCGTTTGACGTGAATCAAATTAGGCGAAACAACGTCGTTTTGCTTTTTATTTATTTATTTTATTTTCCTGATTTCAGTTTTTCTTTTCTTTTCCTCTAGTATTCATCTTCTTCCATCATCTTCAACCTCTGTTCTTCAACAGAGAACGCTGGTCTTCAACCTCTCAGAACGAGGATTGGCTTGGAGTCTCCACGTTCGGCTCAAATTCAAGAAGCAATCGGAGTATGTCAGCTTGGCCCTGCGCAATAGCCGAGTGAAGCAATGTCTGGCCGTGCTTGCGTCAACCGAGTCCGAAAGCTTCCAAGTTGAGTCGATCTGCTCCAGCACCTCCTCTCGTTTATCGAACCCTCGGCAACAAGTTGAAATGAATCCGATTATTAAGCTCCATGACGCAACAGAGCTCGAGCCTTCCAGATCTGGGGGCTCGAGCTTTGGGTTCCCTCGCCGAGACCTGCCTCTCCATGCAAGGCCTCAGGAAGATCCAGGCTTGCCAAGCCGATTGTCGTTCTCAGAGGATTGTGGCCAATTTCTTTCGATTAAGTTTGTTCAGTGGAAAACTCCGTGTTAGTAGAAAGTCCCACTTCCCTTTCTGATTATGGCCTTCCAATTCAAGTGTTTGATCGTAAACTGTGTGACAACTAAATTTTTGGTGAATTATAAAGATTATTTTTATTATTCTGTTAAGAAGTGAGATTAAGTTTAATTGTTGAAAAAGCTTTTACGAGTTGCGTTCTTGTGCATGTGAAGGAAGAAACGAATATAGTCACATGAGGCGACATGGACGCATCCCGGTTGAATTATTTGCTAGAATTTTAATGTTTACTTAGCCATGGCCCACGGATCATTAGACAGATGGCTCACTAGCATAGCTCATGTTTGACATTTGACATGTGGAGTTTGACTATTCAAACTTGCATGAGCCCACCGCCAAAGAGGACTGCCCATAACTGTGAGTAGTGGAATGTCGTTCATGAAATTGACAGAGTTGGCTTCGCCAGAGAGAATCAGAAAGATTAGTTTAGCCGAACAAGTAAACAAATCATTAGAATTTTTTAAATATTCAAACACACATTTATTTGATAGTTGAATTTTTAAAACAGTTTATCAAATAATTTAAACTTTTAGAACAGTTTATCTAATAACTTATACTCTTAGAACAATCGGCAGTGATCTCACAAAATCTCATATGTTGTCAGAGCATCTCAAATCTTTTCAGGTCTCTATTTGCCTCCCCATTTATATATTTCTACAAGTGGTCTTAGGAAAAATCCAAGCTATGCGTGAGGAGAAGTGTTAGAATATAAAAATATTAAATCACGCCTCCACCCTTCTATTGCCTGCCAAAATCCAGCCTATGCGTAAAGGAAGTGTTAGAATATATAAATATTAAATGACGTCTTCACCTCTCTATTTATCTCCCCAATTACACATTTTCACGACTAGGCTTAGGCCAAAATCCAGTCTACGCATGAGGGGAAGTGTTAAAATATATAAAATATTAAACCAAGTATTCACTTAATAGTTTAAGCTTTTAGAACAATTAGCAATAATACCACAAAATCCCATCCAAAAAGAAATGAAAAGAAACCGAGAGAGAGAGAGAAAGAGAGAAAGGAGGGAGGGAAGGCGTTTCAATTCACGCATGCTTCGAAGATCTCGACAAGCCGCATTAACACCGTTTCAAAGAGTTCGGATTTTGAAATTTTCCGAGCATTGTAACATTCGACTGGGCTTTACTTTAGCTGTGGGCGGTATTTATCTCTTTTATGAATTTGTAAACTCATGTCGTGAAAGTAGTAGGGATTCAATATATTATGAGTCATGAAAGAGAATATTTGTTGCATAAACCTGGATCGAGTGCTTATTGTTTTGGGTTAATACCACGAAAAATTCAAAACTAGTACACCCGTGACAAATTTACTCAAAATTAATTTTTTGACAACAAAAAATTTCAAACCGGTACAATTGTGACAAATTTGCCATCGGTTAGTTTCCGTTAAATTGAATTAATACCATAATAAATAAAAAATTGGTCCACGTGAGACATATAAAGTGTAAAATCCCAAATCGGTACATCTGTCAACTATCACGTATCATCCAACTCAGTAATTTGACGATAAAATTTAATAAAAAGTAATAAAGAGTAAATTTATCGCAAATATATAGAGGAAGGTAACTATTTTCACCTTTGAGACTTTCATCTTTTTAGATGTTCCCTCGCCCACCCTTTTAGGAATCAATTTTGTTGGATGCTGATGGCCACCTTACACGCTGCAAAAGTTGGCGGCTACTAATCCACTCGGCTACTTACTACCAACCCCTATGGCCATCAAAATGAGACATTGACGAGACAAAGTTTGCTTGCTATAAACCTATGAACACAACCACCCCTATCTGTTAGAATTGGGGCTGTGCAACTGGACCGATTTCTAGTTCCGAGTAAAGAATCACTCGGGAATTGGATCGATTTGATCAAATTTAGACCTGGTTTCATAAAGCCTAAAAACCTTAATTTTTCTTTTGGCATCTCTCTCTCTCTTCCTGTTCTCTGCAACATCACTTAGACATTTCATGACTCTCTCTCTCTCTCTCGACTCACTCTTCTCCTTGCTCACTTGCAACTGACCCTTGCTTGTTCGAGCCTCGCAAACATCGCTTGTTCCTGACTCGCATTTGCTCACTCGCTCTCGTTCATATTTTACTTTGAACCATTTTTTTGTTCATATTATTTTGTTATGAAATCAAAAGAAGGAACAAAAGAAAAACAGATTCTCGGGTAGACTTGGAACTGGACCGGAAGAATAGGACAGGTTCCAAGGTCAATTTTAGTGCAAAAATAGTAAGTTTCAGGTTCCAAAAACTAGAAACAAATTCTAACATAGTAGATTTCATGTTTAAAGTTTGAAACCTGCCTACCCTAGAACCGATCAACCCTAGTTGGAACCAAATAAATATAGAAACTTGGAAAATTTTGGTAAGAAAAGCCCAAATACACAAAAGGAGAGAGAACTATATTTACAATGCCTTTTGCTTAGACTTACAACCTATAGAACAAAGACACAAGCTTAACTCCAGTGTCCCTCTCTAATTTTTTTCTTCTCTCTGTCTATCAGTTCCACAACTAACCTTTTCTGTTCGTCGTCAAATTCCAACACCTCCTCTACTAACTGAATTCGATATGAAAGCAATTCCCATGTTCTACAAGCTTGTGTCCAGCAAACTCTTCGTGCTGGAGTCTGTGATAGAGTTGGTTTAGGAAGCAAAGTCCAACTCGGACTTTTCTTGAAAATCAGTTTTACTATTTCTAACACTATTCTTCCATTTCAATCTTTTTACCAGTAAACCGCACGCCTGTTGGCGCTGATGACCACCTACACGCTGTGAAAGTTGACAGCTACTTACTACCAACCCCTATGGCCATCATAATGAGACATTGACAAAACAAAGTTGCTTGCTGTAAACCTATGAGCACAGCCACCCTCTATCTGTTGGAATTAGGGCTGTGCAACAGGATCAGTTTGTGCTTCTGAGTGAAGAATCACTTAGGAATTGAATCAATCAAACCGAATTTGGAACTGATTTTATAAAGCCTAAAAATCTTGATTTTTCTCTTGGCATCTTTTTCACTTTCTCTATTTCCCTATTCTCTCCAACCTCGACACTTAACAACTCTCTCTCTCTCTCTCTCTCTCTCTCTCTCTCTCTCTCGTGACTCACCCTCCTCCTCGCTTACCCTCGCTCGTTCGAGCTTGGCAACCATTGCTCGTTCCTAACTTGCCTATGCTCGCTCACCCCTGTTCATCTTTTACTTTGAACCATTTTATTGTTCGTATTATTTTGTTTCAAAAAATGAAAGTAAAAAATGGAACAAAAAAAAAAATAGGTTCTCGAGTAGATCATAGAATCAAACCGGAAAAACAGGGTAGACTCTAAGATCGGTCCAAGCCAAATAGGGTGGATCTTAGAATTCCAAAAATAGAGAATCGGTTCTAACATAGTAGGTTCAAGATGAGATTTGAAACCGACCCACCATGAAATCAATCGCCCGTAGTTAGAATCGAACAAATATAGAAACTTGGAAAGTTTTGGTAAGAAAAGCCCGAATACACAAAAGGAGAGAGAACTATATTCACAGTGCCTTTTGCTTAGACTTACAACCTATAGAACAAAGACACAAGCTTAACTCCAGTGTCCTTCTCTAATTTTTTTCTCCTCTCTCTATCAAGTTCCACAACCGACCATTTCTGTTCCTCGTCAAATTCCAACACCTCCTCTACTAAATAACTTCGATATGAAAGCAATTCCCATGCTCCACAAGCTTATATCCAGCAAACTCTTCGTACTTGAGTCGGTGATAGAGTTGGTTTAGGAAGCAAAGTCCATCTAGGACTTTTCTTGAAAATTAGTTTGACTATTTCTATCACTATCCTTCGATTTGCATCGTCCCACAACAGTAATTAGAGCTACATTATAGAAGTTTGATTCTAACTCCAAAAGGCCTCACCCATGCTCGTGCACAAGGTTTTAATTGCATCGGTCTTAATCTCCACTCTTCTTGTTCAACTTGCTGAAGCAGCCCTGATGGTACCAAGTTGTTCTGCTTTCGAGTCTTCCTATATTCTGCTCGTTTGATTTTCTTCTCTTCTAGTTCTACATCAAACTAACTAATGTCGATTCCAATCAAATGGAACAGCCCTTGTTTTTCCTTGATAAACGCGGGGAGTTGGATATGAAGGGGGACGATTCCAAGCTTCCAAAAATGGGTACAAAGCTATATATAAACAGTCATCTGTCTTTATCGCACATAAAATGCGAAAACATCATACCCTTCGATAAATTTTGGTACCCATGAGGCTGCTATTGTGCACGCGCGCGCAACAAGCCACGACGATATAAGAATCGCCTTTTGCCTTGTCCCTCGTCCCATGCAATGCTCAATGCTTAACACCATGTCAACAGAAACTGCACCCACCAATCTCACCGTCAACCCCTTGGAGGATCTCCAGGTCACCCTCAATCCCGATGGCACCCTCAACCGCGACCGCTTCGTCTTTCCGGACACCTCCGCTACACCCGATCCCACCCCGCCCACCATTTCAGTCCTCTCGAAGGACGTCACGATCAACTCTTCACACAATACCTGGGTCAGGATTTTCCTACCCCGCCATGCACTGTGCTCGGAGGAGAAACTCCCTCTCATAGTTTACTACCATGGCGGGGGATTCATTGTCGGCAGCGCAGCCTCAACAATATTCCATGAATTCTGCGTCACTCTGGCGAGCGAGCTCTCCGCCATCATTGCGTCGGTGGAGTACCGCCTCGCCCCAGAGCACCGGCTCCCATTGGCGTACGATGACGCGGTCGAGGCGTTGCACTGGGTTAAAACCACCCGAGATGAGTGGCTTGCGGACCACACCGATCTCTCCACGTGCTATCTCATGGGCACCAGCGCAGGAGGCAACTTGGCCTTCCATGCAGGGCTGCGTGCATCCGCGTCACACCACGACCTCGAGCCATTGAAGATCCGAGGGCTGATACTGCACCAACCCTTCTTTGGCGGCACCCAGCGGACACCATCGGAGCTGAGGCTGGCAAACAACCAGACACTGCCGCTGGCGGCCAGTGATCTCATGTGGGAGCTGTCACTGCCGATTGGGGTTAACCGGGACCACGAGTACTGTAATCCAGTGGTAGACGGTGGCTTCAAGCTCTCGGAAGGGTTGGATAAGATGAGGTCGCTAGGGTGGAGGATACTGGTCACCGGCTACGACGGAGACCTATTGATCGATCGACAGGGGGAGCTAGCGAAACTGTTGAAAGAGAAGGGACTGAGTGTGGTGAGCGATTTCACGGAGGGCGGTTTTCACATGATCGACCTCCTGGAGCCGGACAAGAGCAAACCTCTGGTCCAAACCTTAAAGACTTTCATGTAGACGACGGTGACATGTGAGGGCGTGGTCGGTACTCTGAATAGGATCTCCACCCCAAAATGTCGCCTGAGCTCTCTCTTTGTTTATTATGTCGTGCGAAATTGAAAGGGTCATGACGGCTCTTGATCCCTCGATATTGCATGCAGTTATCTCTTGTCTAAATTGATCCCTGTCGCCTCTAAGACTTAAAGGGTATCCATCATATGTATACTGTTGTTTCTAGTTGGTTCACTATTTTTGCCCTTGAGAATTGATACTTTAACTTTATTTAATCATCAGTTCGTAGTGTGGGGGAAAAGTTCCATTGCTTTTCTGAAGTTGATTCTTATTCTTTTTTGTTCCGGTCGATGAATTACAGGATAATGGGGACACTATGATTCATTGATAATATTGTTAGAAAATAACATGACATTCTTTCTTGTTTGGTGCTTGTTCATTTGACTTGATCATTTTGCTTAAACCATCCACTTACATATCACTTTATTAATAGATTTTTGGATTCCTAGTATTTACCGTGGATTTTTCTTGCCATCCAATCGAAAGTCGATGATTATTAGTTCTCTTTTTACTCAAACACGCACCGGAAGTCATATCATTAAGACACCCAAACTAAGATAACGTCTGCAGGCGAATCCATTTCTCCCGACATTGTTTCTGATCATAATGCTAGTATGATGCAGCTTCTTCCTTCTTCGGAATCTGTTAAAAAACCATTCAAAGTTTTAATTTTTGGACTCAGCATACTCTATTTCCTGATGTCGTGAAAAATTCTTGGAGTCGATCTGTTTCTGGTGTTCCTGTGTGTATATACGTGCAGCAAGTTGAAAGCATTGACACAGGAGCCTAAGAAGTTTAATAGAGAGCATCATATGAATATTGTGACAGAAAGGCTTTAATCTGCTGAGCTTCTTTGACTTAAAGCTACTAAGGAGTCTTTCGTATGTAGAAATCTCGCATATCTTGGCTGCAACTGGGGGACCAGAATACCGGTATTTTTAATTTTAATCTTTGAAGGCAAATTCTTTAAAATCACTGTTCGAGTTCTTTATTAGTTATCTGGAAATAGGCATACCACTCGTGAAGATAATAAGAGGGAAGCTGAAGTGTTTTATCAGAATTTACTCGGCAATGAAGACAATTCTATGCTGGTTGTTCAGTTCAAGAGCTTCAATCTGTTTTAAATTTTAAGTTGACCGATGCTGCTAAGGCTCTGTTGCTTGAGCCTGTCACTGAAACTGAGGTTTAAAGCACTTTTTGGGCTGTGAAGGGAGAAAAGAGCCCCGAGCCTGATGGTTATACTGCTCATTTCTTTAAAAAGTCATGGAATGCTATTGGTTTTGATGTGGTGTCCGCTGTCTTCTAACTTCTTTCACTCATAAAGGCTATTTGGTGCTGGAATTCCGCTGTCATTACTTGGTTCCTAAAGTGCCTAATCCAGGAAAAGCAGGGGATTTCAGGCCTATTTCTTGCTGTAATATCATTTATAGATGCATCACTACCATCGTGGCTAAAAGGTTGAAGAGCGTTTTATCTGATTTTGTTGGGGGGAAGAACAGCATTGGTGCCAAAACTTGTGTACGGAGGCCACTTTGGTACCAAAAGTTTCAATCGGATCACTTAAGTGCTAAAAGTTGTGAAAAACGATCACTTTAAGTGCCACTTTGCCGGAAATCCGACGTGGCATTTTTTTATTAATTTCTCAAGCTGATGTGGCTCCCCGGGAGGCTGATGTGGCATTTTTTCTCCTTTTCTTTCTTTTTTCCTTTCTTTTCTTTTTTTTTTCCTTTTCTTTCTTTTTTCCTTTCTTTTCTTTTTTTTTTCTTTTCTTTCTTCTTATTTCCGATGGCCGGTGTCCGGCCACCGGCCATGGCCGGCCTCGCCGGGCGTCGCCTTCCTCCGGGCGAGGCCTGGCGAGGCAGCCGTGGCCTCGGCGAGGGCCGACCTCGCCGGATCCGCGAGGCGGGCCCTCGCCGGGCTCGCCTTGCCCGCCGAGGTCGAGGTCGCCCGGGCGTGGCGAGCCCGGCGAGGAGGGTGAGCCCCGGCGAGGCTCGCCTCGCCGAGGCCACGGCCGCCTCGCCGGGTCTAGCCCTCTAGGTGAGGCCCGGGCGAGGTGAGGTCGGGCGAGGCCCGAGGGCGCCGTGGCCTCGGCGAGGGCCGGCCTCGCCGGATCTAGCAAGGCGAGCCCTCGCCGGGCTCGCCCGCCCAGCAACCTCGACCCTCGCCCGGGCGGGCGAGCCCCGGCGAGGGCTCGCCGCCGATTCGGCGAGGCCGGCCCTTGCCGAGGCCACGGCCGCCTCGCCCGAGGAAGGCGACGCCGGCGAGGCCGGCCCTTGCCGAGGCCACGCGCCTCGCCTGGAGGAAGGCGACGCCGGCGAGGCCGGCCATGGTAGAACAAGAAGAAGACAGAAATGAAAAAAGAAAAGAAAAAAGAAAAAAGAAAAAAGAAAAGAAAGAAAAAAATCAGAAAAAAATATTTAAAAAATTGAATTATACACATGAAAATGCCATGTGTCATTAAAATTTAAATATAAAAGTCATGTATTAAATTTGATCAGAATTTCTCGCCGTTGACACTTAAGTGATCGTTTTTTCTCTGATTTAGCACTTAAGTGATCGCCGGCGTAAACTTTTGGCACTTAAGTGATCCAAATGAAACTTTTGGCACCAAAGTGGCCTCCGTACACAAGTTTTGACATCAATGCTGTTCTTCTCCCGATTTTGTTGGCTTGAACCAAACTGATTTAATTAGTGGGAGAAGAAACGTTAATGTGATGCTGGCTTGTGAACTTGCTCATAATTACCATAGGAAAGGGATTTCTCCTAGGAGTGTTGTGACGGGGGACATAATGAAGGCTTTTAATTCTGTCAACTGGAATTTCGTCCTTAATATTTTCAAGGCTATTGAGGCTCCTTCCCAATTCACTAGTTAAATTGAGACGTGCATCACCTTGCCTAGATTTTTTGTCAATGTGAATGGTGAGTGTTGGGAAAATTCATTCCTCGATTAACATATTCAAAACGCGTTCGAACAATGCAGGAAACGTGCCTAATAATCGTTAACTTGTATCACCGATCGTACATGCATATCACATAACGAACATACCCGGTATTGTCACAGATTAAATGCCACTTTGCACACTTAAGAGCGATCTTCGATTGTCTTTCGTACCCATTTGCGTTCCGAAGGAAAATCAGAGAAGACGTTCTTTTGAAGAGGTGTCTTATTGCGCATATGAAAAATCACATTCGTTTTTCAAAGGGGGTCAACTATTTATAGTAAAAGGCAAATAACCACCTTGTAGGTCTTGTGGTTCGTGGGCTGAGTTTGGCCCATCTTGGGCGGCCCATCCATTATGCATTTCAGTGAGCTAGCAGGATGTTTTTGTGGCAAGAAAGGGCTGAGGCAAGGTGATCCTATATGGCCTTATCTTTTTGCTATGGCTGTTGAAGTCCTTTCTAAACTGTTGAGTGCTGCTGCTGATGAAGGCTGGCTCAATTGTCATCCTCTCTATGGGAAATGTCACCTTACTCACTTGGCATTTGCAGACTTGCTTGTCTTTCTGCATGGTGATAAGAAGTCATTGTAAGCCGTTTGGATACTATTTTCGGATTTAAAGTTCTGTCTGGCCTTAAATTGAGTTCAGAGAAGACTTTTATTTACAGCTCAGCTGATGTTACAGGTGAATTTCAGCAAGATATGTTGGAGTTGTCTTATTTTAAAGCTGGCAAATTTCCTGTGAGCCTAAAAAGGAGGGTGGAATAGGCCTGAAGAGGATTCAATGGCGGAATAAAGCTTGCATCATGAGATGCATTGCTCGAACAGGATCTATTTGGGTGACTTGGTCAAAAATTATGAGTTGAAAGGCAAGTCTTTTTGGGATTTGAAGATCCCTGCTGATTCCGCTTTTGTTTAGGGGAAGATTTTGAAGCTTTGGGACATTATTTGACCACATCTGAAGGATGTAATTGGTGATGGTTCCTCTGTTTTTCTTTGGCAGGATGATTGGCACCCTGTGGGACCTCTGCTGAACCATTTCAATTTTCATTCTAAAGCCCAAGAAGTGATACAAGGGTCTTCGTGGCATTGGCCTTCTGCCAGATCTGATGATCTTGTTAGGATTCAAGCTGATTTATGTGGTTCCCTTTGTTCCTAACTCCTCTGTCCCTAATAGAGTGACTTGGAAGCTGCCGCTTTCTGGTGTCTTCACGGTGGGAAGTGCTTGGAACTCGCGGAGACCGAAAGGTTTAGTTTTAATACCAAGAAAAAACTTCAATAAATTTACCCAAACTAAGTTTTGGACCACGAAAAACCCAAAACTGGTACACCTATAGTAAATTAAACCACCAAAAATCTCAAACCGCTACGTGACAAATTTAACCTCTCTGTTAGTTTCCCTTGAATTGGATTAATACAATGAAAAACCACAAACGGGTACGTCTATGATAAATGGAGGGTAAAACCATAAATTAGTATACCCGTTAACTGTCACGTGTCATCCAACTCAACAATTTGACGGTAAAATTTATCAAAAATTAACGGATGGTAAATTTATCAAAAGTGTACCGATTTTGAATTTTTTATAGTCAAAAAATTAGTTTAGGGTAAAATTATCACTGATTTACCAGTTTAGAATTTTTCGTGGTATTAACCCAAAGGTTTAAAGGTGCCTTGGTGTAAGCTTGTATGGTTTAACCCTTGCATTCCCAAGCATCGTTTCATATCTTGGTTGACCATGCATAGTCATTTTGATATCTCTTTGGGGTATGTGCATCCAACTCTCGTAAGTTAAATTCCACGTGCTGTGATCAAATATCACGTGTCGCTTCTAATTTGATTTGCATGTAAGAGTTATATTGAAATATTATCTTACACCGCTTGATAACAAATCTTATGTACATTTTACATACATATGATCTTCCTTCATTAAACTCGCTCTCTTCCCGAGGGGGTAACTCCTCCACAAACCTCTATATGAGTAAGGCCAAAAGTTCGATACTTCCCTTCCCTGTTGATTGTGATTGTGGCAGCATTTACGTAGGAAAAATCTACAATCTTAACCTCCTTTTAATCCTACTCTTTTCAATAAGCTCAAGATTCAAAAAACTCTTGTCGTTACCAGCTGTCTTTTCTTTTTTATCCTACTTTATTTACATCGGGGCCAGGTTTGCTTCTTTTGGAGGCATCCTTGACCTTAATTTTTCTAGGAGAAATCTCTTTCCCCCTACGGACCACCCAATATTAGTCTTATAATACGCAACACCCTTGTCTTTTCGCATTCACATGTGCCAAAATAGAAGTTATGAGCTCAACATCATGACCCAAGAGTCATGTGTAATCCCATCATTTCACGGATGTTCGCCATGTCAATCGATTGCATCTGATCGTAAATTTTGGCATTAGAATTCCAGCACGCCCAATATTGCACGCATTTGCAAGCTAAATCGTCAAATTGTTGAAGGTTCTAATTTAATTCATAAATCTCCGAAATTATGTAAGATTAAATATACGGAGTTGAGAAGAAATGAGGATAGGTAAATGAAAAGAGTTTGAGAGATCAAAATAATAAAAATAGTAGCAACTGTATGGAGTCTTTAAGAATCTTCTGAACTTGCAATTTTGTCCTCGTTTAATATATATTTATCTAAATTAAGATTACATAATAGGATATTTATAGAACAAAAAAAGGGAAGCAGTTATATTATAAGTAGGAACCTCTCTACCTTTCGCATAAGAGCATAGGTGACCAAATAAGTCTTTTTTAGGTAGATAAATTCGAGTCCACGAGGTAAAATTATATAAAAAAAATTTCTCGAGGGTGGGTAAGTGGGGAAATAAAAGTCTCTTATTTTGAACATAATTAGAATATTCTGTCAAAATTCATAGATGGTGTGGTATGACAAAATTGTCTACATCTCACTAATGTTTCGTTTACTTCGCGGAAAATAAATGATTTGGAACATATTTTCTTCAAATTGATCTCTTGTATCATTTAAAATAACTAGTTAATAAAAAAAATTCATTATCGGCAACAATTTATATCTAAACATTTTCTCGGACGATGATAATATTTTCTGTTCATTAAGCGATCATTTTTAGAAAAAATATTTTTTAAATTATTTATTTTTTACGAAACAAACGGAGTCCAAAATAGGCAAATTTGTATCTGTCTCCTCACGTTAAAATAGACTTTTTGGACCGACAACATGTGAAGCTAGCTGAAATTAGACTTCGTTAGGACTCGGCCACAAATTGAAGTTTGACTTCATGTCGTGGGGACATCTCAGAGCATGTGACGCCGTTCTGCACGCTACATCCGAGGTATTCTAAATCAAGTGCTCCACGAAAACATACAAGCCATCTTTTATACGCGTGGGATGATGAGGCACGCGGCACGAATTCTATTCCATCTTTTATAGACCACAAATCATATTCAAAATCGAGTCGCTCGATTTTCAGCCCTCGTCTTTACTCGATCCACTAAGAAAGCCCATCGCGCTGGGTATCGTTAGAAACGCGAGTCTTTGAAGAGAAAAATCAAAGAAGTAAAATGAATCAAAAAGGGAAAAATCACGGTGCCGCACTAGACAATATCTTCACTATCAGTATCGGTATCAGAATTACAAAGTTTCAAGGTCACAAGTTTTTGCCCCAATTATATAGCCTAAGGCATACATAGTAACACGTATGCCATCGGCAGCCGTAAAAAGTTCTGTTCTTTATTTTTAACATGAGAATTACATGTATGTCGTTTTAATATCACTTTTCTCTATCAGACTCCACAGCTCCGTCAGGTAATCATTCGCACGATGTGAGAATCTTTGAAGGTAAAAAGGAAGAACCCTGTTTTTGATAAGGATGAAATACCATCAGAGGCACGTAAACACTTGGAAATGTATTCCGCCGTGGTCCACCCCAAAAGGAGGATATGCGCACGAGGAATTTGGCAGCCCACTTTTAGTACACAGATATCAGAACTAATCTATATTCCAGTTTGGTTGATCAGGATGAAAAGGTGGCGTCTTTTTTCACCCTTTTCTTGAATTTTTTATATCAATAATTACATCAACTTGATGACGTTTGCTAGATCATAATTTCAAGATTCACCTTTCATTTGGTTATTATGATTAGGGTTATAGTAGTCGCAAACAGTTTCTGAACTTTGACCCAATATGTAATATACTCCCTGAACTTATAATTTGGTCGATATTATCTTTAAACTTTTAACTTATTTAACGTGATCCCTAGACTTTTGGTATATGTTAAATGTAATTCTTGAATTATATGAAAATGTATAAGGTAATCTTTGAACTTGAATTAATGGAAGGACTACATTAAATATTTTCATATTGTTCAGGGAGTAAATTGAACATGTACAAAAAATTTAAAAACGGAATTGAACAAATTAAAAGTTCAAGGACCACATTGCATATTGGATGAAAATTCAGGGACCACGTTGAACAGATTAAAATTTCATGAACCACATTATTTATTGGACTAAAATTCAAGGTCCGTTGACGTCACTTTCCCTTACATTTTCTTGGCGAAATTCTCTTAGGCAAAACAACAGGAAAACCGAAACGCTCTTTCGCACCCAGATTAACAAACGGTGAAACTAGCGGTAAAACAGCTGTAAATAATAAATAAATTCAAGGCTACAGTAAATTTATTTTTAAAAAAACGTATTTTAATCGACTAAAATAGATTTTTGATAATCAAGATCCTCGTTAAAAGCGACCAACATGTTTTAGGTCCCGTGTCTCCATTTTCGACCTGCATATAGATCCTTGAGGATTGAATCCAAAGCCATCGTCTTCAACCCCACAAAATCCACGCGGAACTGCAATCATCTCCGCCATAATTCTTGCCTTCTCGCCTCTGTCGTCGCAGCTTCTTCAGCTCAGAGATGGCTACAGGTCTGTTCTTGGTCATGTTCTTGTCGATTCTTGGCATCCCGCTACGCATGCATTGGTTTCTTGGCGTTCTTGGTTTTCTCTTCGTCTCTGTTTCAAGATTTGATTGCCCATTTCACCCATTTTCACGCGCATCTCGTCGGTGTTCGTTTCTTGCAACTCCTCGGCGAGTTCAGGAATCGTCTTTTCTGCGTGTTATCAATCCTGAGTTTCGATGAATATCATCCCGTGACGAACGCTCTGATCTGTGGTTCGATCGCGTACCAGAACGTTCTCGGTTAAGTGAACTTGAAAGTTGGAACTGGCGTTTGATCTGTATTCACCAACCATGCGCCAGTTTTCCCCTGTTATCTTCTTGGCAACAACGGTGGGGTTAGGTGGCTCGTTGTTGAAGGGGCGGTTGCATTTATGATGCAGATATTAATGGATACAGTCAACGGTGACACAGCCACTTATCATCATTTTCTTCTCTTCATTTTGTGGAAAAAAAAGGGTGGTGATGGATCGGGTTGAGAGGCCAGCAAGTTCTTGGTGCTTTGATCAGGGAGACCGAAATGGGGTGTTGGGGAATCTTTCGATTCTTCTCAAACAAAGGTTCAATTTCGAAAATTGTAGAACACAGTGAAGTGTAGCTAGTAGGAATATATGGTACCAATGCTCCTATGAAGTTTTATCCATTTTCTGATGAGCATGTCATGCAATCGTCATTTGGGAGTATGTCTTTTGTTAATTAAATCTGCAGCTGAATTTGATGAGTGTACACAGTATTGACAGCAACTTATGGCTTTATGCAGATGATTCTAATGATGCATCCTCCCATGCAAATGGGTGGCCTCCAGTTGATAGTTCGCTTGTGGTCTGTTTTGGGGAAATGTTGATTGACTTTGTCCCAACTGTTGGCGGAGTTTCGCTTGCTGAAGCACCTGCTTTTGAGAAAGCTCCTGGTGGTGCTCCTGCTAATGTGGCTGTTGGTATATCCAGATTGGGAGGTTCTACTGCCTTTGTGGGAAAGGTGCCATTAGTTTTTGAACTTCTCATCAACTGCTAAAAAGACAAACTTAATGCTTCCTATAAGAGCATTAGTTAAGATATAATTATTATGTATTGCAAATATGAACAGATAAATTCTCATATCTGATCTTCTTGTGATTTGAGCATTGAGTACACCTAATTTTTTGTCCAATCCCTTGAAAGTGTTAATTTACTATGTACAGTTGGCTTAACGAGTGTCCACACATTTGTTAACTAAGCACCTAAAAAATACCATGTGTTGCTGGCGTTAAATTTCTGTGGCGGTTATTTTCTTCTTTCATGATTGCCCTATATTGAGCAACTGCACGTACACCATTTTATGTCTGGGCATATCCAATTGCAGATATAGTGCAGTGAATGCCTTGTCCTAAAAATCTCTAGCCCTGAATTTCAGTTCCTGCTGATAGACATCTGCTAGCTTGTCATCACTTTCCCAACACCACCAACAACTTATTTTAAGTTTTTATCACAGGTGGGTGATGATGAATTTGGACATATGCTGGCTCACATTTTGAAGCAAAATAATGTTGACAATTCTGGTGTGCGGTTTGATCACAAAGCAAGAACTGCATTGGCTTTTGTTACCAATAGAGCTGATGGGGAGCGAGAGTTCCTATTTTTTCGTCATCCAAGTGCTGACATGCTTTTACATGAATCAGAACTTGATGTTGAACTTATCAGCAAGGTTTGCTTTCTTTTCTCTCTTTTCTCTTTTTACAGGTCATGGAATTTCTTGTTAAGCATTAATACTATTAGTTGATTGTTACGGGGGTGTCTATCTGGACAAATATTGCCATTCTTTTCTTTTGGCCAAACACGGTTATTGTGATTCACAATTACCACTTATTGCAGGCAAAGATCTTCCATTATGGGTCTATCAGTTTGATTGACGAACCCTGCAAATCGGCTCATCTTGCAGCGATGAAAATTGCCAAAAACTCAGGGAGCATCCTCTCTTACGATCCAAATTTGAGATTGCCATTGTGGCCATCTGCTGAGGCTGCCCGTGAGGGAATAATGAGTATATGGGATCAGGCTGACATCATTAAGGTAGTTGCTCCTGCGTGGGTTGCATATAAAAATGATGCATTACTGCTAGATGTAATCTTCATATGCATTGATGATAAATGATGCAGGCACAATGAGAGTCTCATTTAGATTCACTTCTGAACTGGCAGATAAGCGAGGAAGAAATTACATTCTTGACTGGAGGCGAGGATCCTAATGATGATAACGTGGTCTTGGACAAGCTCTTTCATCCTAATCTTAAACTTCTGATCGTTACTGAAGGATCAGAGGGCTGCAGATATTATACAAAGGTAAGCTACCCTAGTATATCATGCGGCTTTTTTATTCCGTGACAATAATCTTAGTGGAAGAAAAATTGACTGAATCCTAGTTGGTCATTGTATTTGAACTCCTTCAGTCGAAGCAGCTTTCTTATTAATTTCATGATTACATCCCCGAATGTAAATCGCTTGAATTGAATGTAATGGATATTTTGGCTCAATATTTAGTTAGGGTAAGATATCTTGGTAACCCGGAAAAAGGGGTTAACATTTTGGGAAATTCAGCATCATGGTACATTATCATTGCTGAATAGTTACTTATTAACTGGATCAGGCCTTCTTCTTTTTGGAGCTAAAGGTTATAAACTCACTTTGTTTTGGCAAAGCTCATTAGGTAATTATCATTTTTGGCCAGAAAGCTCATAGGTTCATTGACAAAACCAAATTTCTGCACAGGAATTCAAAGGCAGTGTTGCTGGTGTTAAAGTAAAGCCAGTTGACACAACCGGGGCAGGCGATGCTTTTGTTGGTGGGATACTATATGGCCTGGCTTCTGACCTTAATCTTTACAAGGTACCAATGGTTTGTACTAGAATTGGATGACTTATAGCTACTTGTCCGGTTTCCTTGATACATAGAGCTTCTGACGAACAAAATCTGAGTTGAATGTAACTGATGGAGGTGTTGTTTGCGAAGATAAGGCTAAAGAAGATGTCAAATCCGTATCAGTAATGCATAATGGTTTTCTCTAATATGCCATAGCTCTGGCTCTTCTTTCAGCTTGTTAAGGCAAATGGAAAAGTGGTAGAAATGCATGATGAGCAAACATCATCGTCTAATAAATCTCTTGAAAGCTGCATGATGCGAATATATGATGATTCATATTAGTTTCTGTTGAAATTCTAGCTTTAATGCTAAACTGGCTATATTTCATCTATGTCAGAAGTCAATCGTTGCGTATTAAGCATGTGATGCATGTGAATCTGAACTTTTAAGTAATTGATGCTGACCACCTTTCTCGGCATTATTTGCGATCTTGAGATGTCTGCATGAGGGCTAATAGTCAATTTTTGTCCAATTTAAGATGGCTATGGCTTAAGCACAACTAGATGTTTCAAAGTGTTCACCTGACACACGGTACTTGGAGGCCGAATGAGAAACAGAATATTTGTTGACTGCTAATAATAGTAATGTGCTCTGCTTTAAGTCAGTACTCTGCATTTTTTCCCTGTCATGGTAAAAATTTGACTTTGGGCGCAGGATGAGGAACGGCTAAGGGAAGCTTTGCTCTTTGCGAATGCCTGCGGCGCGGTCACAGTGACCAAGCGAGGAGCTATTCCTTCACTACCCACAAAAGAAGCGGTCCTCAGTTTGCTAACACATGATGCTTCGTGAAGGAAACGCAAAAAAGCATATCTCATCAACTATACTTTTCTGTCGGTCTCACCCGGAAAAATAAGCACTGTAGAATTCCATTTTCTATACAAAGCCTGTATACAAAGGTTGTCAAATCATTCATGTTCTCTGCAATCTGTGTCTGTCTAATTTAACTAAGAGCATTCGGGGACCAAACATCGCAAATTGCCAATTTGCTGCGATTCATTTGATCTTGTTCTTTGGTTATCCGCAACTAGTGGCTTTTCATTGCTTTCCTTTATAGCTGGAGCTCCTTGGTAAAAAATATCCTCCTAAGCATCACATCCTCGTCCTATACCTCCGCTATAGAATTCCAAGTTTCATATCTTGCAATTGGAGTTATGATATGACATCCGGACAATGTCTTTTTTTGGGTCAACGGATCAAGATGATTCCATACGATCAATTAATGCTTTCCATAAGAAGATACCGCAGAGATGAAGGATGAATAGCTATGGCAATTGAAGCAAACTACCAGGTGAAATAAAGCCTTAGGGAGCTTAAGTTTCCTCTGGAGTGATAAGGTGCGCTAGTGCACTGAAGGGTTAGGACACGCATGTAATGTAAGACACCTGATGCATGTGCTTGTTAGTTATGTGCTAGGGAGATACAAGTAACCATAGTTACTCATATGATGACGGTAACGTCTGTTACTTACGAGATACTGTGACGATTGATCATATGAAGTAATTGGTGATCAATGTGCAGAAAACTTGTAAGACAAAATGAGAAGGAATGGTGGATCATTTTCTGGTTCTGCACATGGAAGGGATCCTCGAGTGGATGGAATTCTCGAGACTTTGGCTAATGTGGGGGCATTGTTTGAACAACAAGCCCAACATCAAGTGGCTGCAGGAAATGGTGACCGTCGCGTACAAGGATTCATGGAGCAATTTATGAAATTGAAACCGACTAAATATACGGGATTAGGAGATCCTAGTGAGGTAGAAATGTGGATGAGAAGTTCGGAGAAATATTTAATCTGTTGAACTTAGAGGTGAGCGGTTCTCGATCCGGTCCGGTCCAACCCTAGACTAGGAAACGGAACAGGAAATAGAGAACGAGGCTTGGATAAGAAGGCAATTAATGCCGTTAGACATAAATGATTACTGTGTACTTTATAGGCAAGCTCAACTCATTGAGCAAGAGTTAATAAAAGGAAGAATAGAGAACGAGGCACAAGGACGATTAGGTCACCAAACTACACAAGACAATGCTAGGTTTGGTAAGAAACATGTCCAGTTTGGAAAAACCCCTTTTGGTCCTAACAAGAGACGCAACAATGGAAACCCTAGAAGGTCCTGGAATGACCAGTCGAGAGGACGAAGACCAATTTCAATGGGTAATTGCCGCTTGTGTGGAAAGCAGCATAGAAATGCACAGTGTCAATCATAAAAGCAATGTTTTAGATGCGGACAGTATGGTCATATGTTCAGGGATTGTCCTCAAGGGAGACCACAACTGCAACAAATAACTCAGGACGGAGCACCACAACAAAGGAACTTACAGAGGTTGCCCAATCAAGGGAGAGTTTATGCAGTCACTCAGGAAGAAGCCGAGAGTTCCAAGACTGTTATCTCAGGTACGCTCTCCTTGTGCAACCAAAAAGCTTACGCCTTAGTTGATACTGGTGCTACTTACTCTTTTATATCTGCCAATTTTGTGCGATTGTGTGGGTTAAAATCTGAATTGCTTAAAGTGCCTCTTAGTATCTCTGCACCTTTAAGAGATAAAGTGTTGTATGTGTAAAGATTGTAAGATATCTATAAGTGAGATGGATTAGATGATAGATTTGGTGGTATTAGTTGTGTATGACTTTAATGTCATCATAAGAATGGATTGGCTCAATAGGGAACGAGCCAATGTGGACTGTTATAGAACAACAATCTTATTTGATCCACCTAGTCACCCTAGTTTCGAATTTCTTGGAAGTGGGATGGAACCACTATGCCTCTTATTTCGGCACTAGAAGCATATTAACTGCTCAGCAATGGTTGTCGAGGATATATAGCGATCGTTATTGATCAAAGTGAAAAGGAAGCGAAGCTTGAGGAAATTCGAGTGGTCCAAGAATTTCCTGAAGTATTTCTTGAGGAATTGCTAGGATTACCTCCGGAACGAGAGGTTAAATTTGTTATTGAATTAGCCCTAGGAACATAGCCTATATCGAAAGCTCCTTATAGAATGGCCTTAACGGAACTGAAAGAATTAAATGTGCAGTTACAAGAATTGCTTGATTGAGGATTTATACGACCAAGTGCATTACCGTGGGGTGCGCCAGTGCTGCTTGTGAAGAAGAAAGATGGATCCGTACACTTGTGCATCGACTATAGGCAATTGAATCAAGCAACGGTTAAGAATAAGTACCCGTTGCCTAGAATTGACGACTTATTTGATCAGTTGCAAGGAGCATCTGTATTTTCAAAGATTGACCTACGGTCTAGGTATCATCAAGTGCAGATCAAGAAAGAAGACATTCCTAAGACGGCTTTCCGAACTCGATATGGACATTACGAATTTACGGTTATACCCTTTAGATTGACTAACGCGCCAGCAGCGTTTATGGACCTAATGAACCGAGTATTTAAATCGTTTTGGAGCGATTTGTGATTGTCTTTATTGATGATATCCTAATATACTCGAAAGGGCCAGAAGAGCATGAACACCACCAAAGAACGGTACTTTAGTCTCTTCGAGAACATAGGTTGTACGCGAAATTTGGTAAATGTGAGTTTTGGCTAGACCGAGTAGTATTTATGGGTCATGTGGTAACTGGCGAAGGTATATCAGTAGACCCAGCTAAGATCGAAGTGGTAATCAATTGGCCAAGATCAAAAACAGTAACCAAGATTCAAAGTTTTCTGGGAATGGCTGGTTACTCTCAGAGATTTGTTAAAGGATTTTCACGTCTCACAGGACCGTTAACCCGATTGACGAGGAAGTATACAAAGCTTGAATAGGATGAGGAGTGCGAGCAAAGTTTTATGGAACTCAAGAAGAAATTGACTACAGCACCGATTCTGATAATACTATCACGATCAGAAGAATTCGTGGTATATAGTGACGCTTCTCGCAAAGGACTTGGGTGTGTTTTAATGCAGCACGGGAAGATCATTGCTTATGCATCAAGACAATTAAAGCCGTACGAGTTAAATTATCCGACACATGATATGGAACTTACGGCAATTGTCTGTGCACTGAAGATCTGAAGACATTATCTTTATGGATAAAAGTTTAAAATTTATACGGATCATAAAAGTTTGAAGTATATGTTCTCTCAAAAGGAGTTAAATATGAGATAGAGACGATGGATGGAATTGTTCAAAAATTATGACTGTGAGATTTTATACCATCCGGGAAAAGCAAATAAAGTAGCGGATGCTCTTAGTCGAAAGTCCGCCTCGACAATAGCAAGTTTAATGGTTAAGGAGTGGTGTTTACTCGAGGAGGTTTCCGAATCGGAATTTAAGCTCGAAGTAGAGAATCTTTCAAGTGTATTAGCTACGCTCAAAATTGAACCTAAAGTTATATAGAGAATAACGATATTGCAACAGACAGATCCTAAAATCTCGAAGATACGAGAAGAGGTAGCGAAAGGAAGGAAAATGGATTTTCAAGTGATGGATGAAGGCATCGTAAGATTCCGTGAACGTCTATGTGTGCCTGACAATGATGAGTTAAAAACGGAAATTTTGACAGAATAATATTTACCCCGGAAACACAAAGATGTATTCACCCCGGAATAGCTACGCTCAAAATTGAACCTAAAGTTATATAGAGAATAACGATATTGCAACAGACAGATCCTAAAATCTCGAAGATACGAGAAGAGGTAGCGAAAGGAAGGAAAATGGATTTTCAAGTGATGGATGAAGGCATCGTAAGATTCCGTGAACGTCTATGTGTGCCTGACAATGATGAGTTAAAAACGGAAATTTTGACAGAATAATATTTACCCCGAAACACAAAGATGTATTCACCCCGGAATAGCTACGCTCAAAATTGAACCTAAAGTTATATAGAGAATAACGATATTGCAAAGACAGATCCTAAAATCTCGAAGATACGAGAAGAGGTAGCGAAAGGAAGGAAAATGGATTTTCAAGTGATGGATGAAGGCATCGTAAGATTCCGTGAACGTCTATGTGTGCCTGACAATGATGAGTTAAAAACGGAAATTTTGACAGAATAATATTTACCCCGGAAACACAAAGATGTATTCACCCCGGAATAATAAATACATCGGAGTAATTATAGTATTCACCCCCGAAACAAGAAGATGTATCATAATCTTCGTCAGCATTATTGATGGAGTGGAATGAAGACAGATATTGCAAAGCATGCAGCTAAATGTTTGACATGTCAACTAGTAAAGGCAGAGCACCGTAACCCTGTAGGATTGTTGAAGCCATTAGAAATTCCCGAATGGAAATGGGAACACATAACAATAGATTTTCTGCAGGATTTACCAAGGACATCAAGTGGTCACGATGTTATCTGGGTAATTGTGGATTGTCTAACTAAGTCTACTCATTTTCTGGTAGTGCGAGTGGACTATACACTTGAGAAGTATGCAAACTTATATGTCAAACAAATAGTGCGATTACACGGAGTGCTTGTGACCATCACATCAGATCGAGACCCAAGATTCACTTTGAACTTTTGGAAGAATCTCCAAGTGGCTCTAAAAACGAAACTTCAGTACAGTACCGCATTCCACCCACAAACGGTTGGGCAGTCACAACAAGTAATTCAAGTGTTAGAGAACATGTTACGGCCTGTATGATTGATTTCAAGAGCAATTGGGATGAGAAGTTACATCTAGTGGAGTTTGCTTATAACAACAGTTTTCAGAAAAGTATTAGCATGAACCATTTGAGGCTTTATATGGAAGGACTTGTAAAACACCTGTTTGTTGAGACGAAGTAGGAGAACGAAAGTTGACAGGGCCAGAGTTGGCGCAAGTCACGACTGATGTAGTGAAACTGATACGCGATAAACTCAGAACTGCCTAGAGTCGGCAAAAAAGTTACGTCGACAGATGTCGGAGACCATTAACATTTAAGGTGGGTGATCATATATTCCTAAAAGTGTTGCCAATGAGAGGAATATCAAGATTTGGAAAGAATGGAAAGTTAAGCCCGAGATTTATAGGACCTTTTGAGATATTTGAAAGAGTTGGAGAATTGATATATCGACTGGCACAGCCACCAA